CCTGTTTTGCAACTATAATACAATGTATAAGGATTAAGTGTTAATATCTACATCAGCATCTAAACTTACAGCATTAAAATACATAATGTCTTATCAGATTTAAGTATTTTCTACTAAGGTTATATCATTCCTTACTCATTGACACTTGCTGATCGTGTAAGAGTTATCTCCCTTATTTAAATACTAAAATCTAATAACTGAGGTTTCAATAGATACATCAGTCTTTAAACGTTACATCTAATGAATCATATCAGATTTGAACAGATATATATATAGTCTTTTGCACTTAAGTGTTAAGGTTATATGCTACCTTAACCTTTTTGTTTATTTTTTTAGAGTTAGCTCCCTTATTTAAAAAAACCTCATTTTGTTTCTCCGTTTTTGTGAGAATTATGAGGAATGAACCCAAGTAGAGGATTTGTTACTGATCTTCAACATAATCCTTTAACTCTAAGATAAAAGATTCATCATTTTGGAAATATGTCATATCAAAGTTTTACTTTCTACACAAACAATGTACTTATTAAACGTGTCGTGACGTTTCAAGACCGACTTGTCCCTTTGTCAAGCTTTGACTGAGTGAGAGATTTGTGTTTTATACCTTACCTGTATTAAACCTTGATAATAATCTGATGCAGTGTCACTGTCGCGTGATACGTACACTGTTTGTGTAGAAAGTAAAACTTTGATATAAGACATGTTTGTTGTTTTTTGCATGCTACAGATTTACATGTTCAATGTTATATTGATCAACAGAAGACTTTTTAGCTCACCTGGCCCGAAGGGCCAAGTGAGCTTATGCCGTGGTGCGGCGTCTGTCGTCCGTCCGTCCGTCGTCAACTTTTAAGTTTAAACAACTTCTTCTCAGTAACCAAAAGGGCTAGGGTAATGATAATTGGCCAGTAACATGCTAGAATGAAGGGGTACCAAGTTTGTTCAAATAAATGACCTTCAACCATTTTCAAGGTCACTGGGGTCAAATATGTTTAAAACCTTTAAACGACCTCTTATGAATAACCGAGAGGCTGGGATGAAGGGCTACCAAGTTTGTTCAAATGTATGACCTTTGCCTATTTTTTTTTTGAATTACTTTAAACTTTAAGTCAAGACGCTGATATTTTGCCTGTAGCTTCATTTTAGTCCTCTTGTAAGGTTACAATTGTGAGATTAATACCAGGTGAGCGATGCAGGCCCATTGGGCCTCTTGTTTAGATACTACGTTTGTTAGGATGACTCAGCATGCCAGATTAAAAATTAGGTATTAACTTTACAAATTATATATGTTTATTCACACTCTCAAAAAACAGGGATGTTAAAGTGGAGCATCAAGTGAAGTAGTAGACTGTAATTATTTTTACTACATAGCGTAATTTAAAAGCAATCCTGTTCATACGATAAATAATTACGGTACATTACATGACGTCATACTGCACAAAATGACATTATAGCTAAAAGGAAGTACCCAGATCCTGTATATATGTATATAAGTAATTTTAGATACATTAACGTCACTCATGCATGTACACAATGAATGCAGGAATTGAAATGACAGTACACATAATGTATACTATAACCATTAAGGCTCATACACGCTCAATGAATATAAAAACTATCCTGTAAAGTTTTAATTGAATTTGTAGCATCATTACACATGTGTACATGCAAGGAATTTAAAGCTTCTGTTTATAAGAGTTGGTACGAAATAAATCACCGTTTTGTTTTTCTATACATAATTAATATATGGTGTGATCCCACAGACCGCGGTGACTCAGACTGTTTTTGTGTTGTATAATTCATCAGATGTTGTACATGTGGCGACAGACTCGACCTTTTCTCACATTTGTAAAGACTAGCTATACATGTATACATAATACATATCTGATGTATGCTGTAATCTGGCCCTCAATATATTTGTATACATGTTTAACAGATCAGAAAATGACAAAGTAAATTTTTTTAAAAATCATAAATTACATGAATGTTGTTAAATTACAATTTTAATATGGTAATAGGGGAGTACAATTTCATTTGTAAAGTAGTAGCACACAGGCAAATTCAAAAATGTTCTACTAACTTCAACGACGTATTTGTACATGTACATTATGTATATATATATACATATCGGATGTATGCTGTAATCTTGCTGTTTATATTTGTGTTCATATTTTATAGTTCAGAAAATGACAAATTTAAACTACAAAGATCATATATACATTATACAAATGTTGTTAAATTATAGTTTTGATATGATTATTCATGATCAGAGGACTACATTAGTTCATATAGGTATTTAAAAAAGTGTGCACAGGGAAATTTGAAAAATTCTGCTATGTATACCTAAACCTATATTTTCACAGCGAATCTTTAATAGTATATACATTGTACCTACTCCCAAACAGTGTTCTCATTCAAAGCCGGTTGCCGGCAAAAGTAGACAACTTAATTTATCAACTTTGAGCCGACTGTTTTTTCCGGATACATATATACATTATTATAGGTCAACGTCATAAACATCTTTTCCAGTCAACCATTTATTTCAAAACCTAGTAAAAACACAGCCAACATAAAATGTACTGGTTTCAGCCTTCAGGTGCATGTGTCAGGGTAGTAGAAGTTTACACCCAAATAATTATTGCTTTCAGTTTCCTGTTATAATTAATTTTAAACACTACTAATTTGATTTATGCATACTTTGTAAAGGTAATAATGTTATGTTATATGTAACATACATGTCACAATATCAAAATTTGTTATCATCATGATCGCATTCTTTAAATGTTTAATATGTACAATATGTTTGCATACATATTTGCACCTGCATACTGTAATGTCATTTATGATCTTGATAAGCTTATATCTACAGCAAAGTGTCGGATCCAGTCAATGTAAGGATAAAAGTGACCTAAAGTTTGTTAGTATCTCTTTCACAAAAGAGTTCCTCACTTATGCAAAGTGTAATGATATAGAATATTTATATGTTCAACGTCAAAGTCATTTTGACAGGGTTAATTAAATGCAAAAAAATATGGTTACACCCAATGCCTTGTGATGAATTTTAAAGTTTGTATATATATATAGCTACCTTGCACATTTATGATTAAACCTATGATTTGTGTCAAGGTTGTTGTACAATGTAGAGTACATGTAACGTTTAATAAGCTACATGTATCCTACCTTACATATTTTACCTGTGATTTGTGTTAGAGATAAGGCAATATGCTTGTAACCTTACACATTATACACGTGATATGTGTTACAGTTAAGGTAGTATGCTACCTTACACGTTATACATTTGATTGATGTTACGAGTTAAGGTAGTATGCTACCTTACACGTCATACATGTGATATGTGTTACTGTAAAGGTAGTATGCTACCTTACATGTTATACATGTGATATGTGTTACAGTTAAGGTGGTATGCTACCTTACACGTTATACATCTGCTATGTGTTACAGTTAATTATAAGGTAGTATGCTACCTTACAAATTATACATGTGATATGTGTTACAGTTAAGGTGGTATGCTACCTTACACGTTATACATCTGATCTGTGTTACAGTTAAGGTAGTATGCTACTTTACATGTTATACATGTGATATCTGTTAGAGTTAAGGTAGTATGCTACCTTACACGCTATACATCTGATATGTGTTACAGTTAAGGCAGTATGCTACCTTACACGTTATACATGTAATATGTGTTACAGTTAATTATAAGGTAGTATGCTACCTTACACATTATATATGTGATATGTGTTACAGTTAAGGTAGGAGGGTACCTTACACGTTATACATGTGATATGGGTTACAGTTAATGTAGTATGCTACCTTACACGTTATACATGTGATTGATGTTACGAGTTAAGGTAGTATGCTACCTTACATGTTATACATGTGATATGTGTTAGAGTTAAGGTAGTATGCTACCTTACATTTTATACATGTGATATGTGTTACAGTTAAGGTGGTATGCTACCTTACACGTTATACATCTGATACGTGTTACAGTTAAGGTAGTATGCTACCTTACACGGTATACATCTGATATGTGTTACAGTTAATTATAAGTTAGTATGCTACCTTACACATTATACATGCGATATGTGTTACAGTTAAGGTAGTATGCCACCTTACACATTATACATGTGATATGTGTTACGGTTAAGGTAGTATGCTACCTTACACGTCATACATCTGATGTGTGTTACAGTTAAGGTAGTATGCTACTTTACACTTTATACATGTGATTGATGTTACGAGTTAAGGTAGTATGCTGCCTTACACGTTATACATCTGCTATGTGTTACAGTTAATTATAAGGTAGTATGCTACCTTACAAATTATACATGTGATATGTGTTACAGTTACGGTAGTATGCTACCTTACACGTTATGCATGTGATATGTGTTACGGTTAAGGTAGTATGCTACCTTACACGTTGTACATGTGATATGTGTTACTGTAAAGGTAGTATGCTACCTTACATGTTATACATGTGATATGTGTTAGAGTTAAGGTAGTATGCTACCTTACACGTCATACATCTGGTATGTGTTACAGTTAAGGTAGTATGCTCCCTTACACGTTATACATGTGATATGTGTCACAGTTAAGGTAGTATGCTACCTTACACGTTATACATGTGACTGATGTTATGAGTTAAGGTAGTATGCTACCTTACACGTTATACAGGTACATGTATCTATGATTTTGGTTGACAATTAAGGCTCTACCTTGCATATGATACTTAGAGTTAAGGTTGTATACTGTTAAGGTACTGTTATAATATATAACCTACCTTATGTGTTATACTTGTGATTAATCATGTTTAGTTAATATATGATATAAGGTTGCATGACTTCAATCTTTATAATAATCAACCCTCAAATTAAATCAAGTGTTTAAGCTATGATGATGTCATGTAACATTTACATTCAAACAACAATATTATTTACGTTTCCTTATTTTGTGATTATCATATACACGTGCGTGTGTTACAGGAAAAGCTAGAGCACATCCAGTCACATTCATTCAGGAAACAGACAGAGCTGGAGGATGATCTTGCTCAGGTGACGGCTTACAAGGACGAACTGCAGAAGTATATCAGGGAACTGGAACAGTCCAACGATGACCTGGAACGTACCAAGAGGTGGGGGGGTTCTTCAACACATACTGTAGTATGCTGGGAAAATTATGATAAATCAAGATGGCATGGAGTGTAGAATCTTTTACATCCTCATTGGAATAGTCATCAATGCCTGTCATGTCTGATATTACAATTTTATTGTGTAAAAATATATTATAGTTCAGTATTGTTTGTAGCACGCTTTTTCATTGGTTCAATATTACAGTCTATCAAATGATCATGATAGTCCGAAAAAATCAGAACATGTTGATGTCATTTACAACATATATATATATATATATTTCCCACCAAAAAAAGTTGTCTCAATCTTAAATGATTATCTGCGACCTTGTTTTTGATATTTAAAATCCCAGCATATTCAGCATAATACTTGATTTTGGAACAACATATGTTATGGACAAATTTGCGATGACTAATTACAAAGATCTAGACAGGGCATTTCATTTTGGAGACAATAAATGAGTCTGCAGGAAGCTCCGGCTCAATGGGATTAGGGTCTCACCGTCCGCTGTGATGTGGGAGATTTAAAATACTGCTTTTGATTGATGAACGTCAAGATCAATTTCTCATTACTAAAAGATACTATTATTTTTATTGTATAAAGTGTGTCATTTTCATTTAAAACAAGAAGTTTGAAATGAAAATGACACACTTTTTGTATAATAAAAAAAAATCTTTCTTAGTTTTGATTTAAATTATATAACGTTGGACAAGATCATAAAATGTTGATCCATCTATGCATAGAACGAAAACAGAAGTGCACTCTTTACATATAAACTGCTTCCATAGTGCATTTCAGTTTTCAGTCGATAAATTGGTAGACCATCTTATGATATAGTAATCTATCCTTAACTGACTCATGATCAGAAACAACTCCTTTTCTTCACTTTCACATGTACATGCCTAATTTATATTTTCAGAGCAACTGTGGTGTCTTTAGAAGACTTTGAGCAAAGATTGAATCAGGTACATACAAATATCACTATTTTCAGTTACTAGCTATATATATATAGATGACCTTTAATTTCAACACAGTAAGCAACGTTTTGCCTGTGAAAATGATAATAAAGTCAACATAAAAATCTGAATACCAAAAGTCACAAGGCACTGTCCCCTGTAGAAAGATGTTAGAAAAAACACTGTAGTGTATAATGATATTTTTCAAAGAGCTTATTTTTGTGTCTCTTCTAGCCAGTCTGCTAGGTGTTTTGAATACACATTACAAAACATTATAACAGATATACCAATATTAAAATATACTGGCTTTTACTTGTGGTGGGAATCAGTTTAAATTTCATAACTGATGTTTGGTTTATCAGAAATCTAAAATCTGAAAAGTAATGATTCATGCACAATGTAGTGTGCGTGTTTGTCATCCATATAATGTATGCATGATTCAGTTTGATAACATTCCGACACCAATTTCTTTTTGAATTGAACACCTTTTTCCTATGACAGAATATCAGGTTGTGTATACATTTCTGTATTGCAGTATATTACATCTGGTCTGGTTTTCCTTGTTTGTTATTCATTTTTAATCCTTGGTCTCAGGTTTGCCGATATATATATCAAGCATATCAACCCCATGTTTCTATTTTTGTCTTGCACATGACCAATCGATCTCATGTTTCTAAAATTAGATCTGGAATTTCATTTCAAAAACCGACCTATGATTTTCTCACTATTTGGATATCTAATATCTCCTTTTGTCTAAAGACATGATATGTAATGTAAAAATTAAGGACCTTTGTCATGATCAATATTTTGTAATGGACCTGATAGAGTATTTTTTTATAAAGTTTATAATGGAGCACTATAAATCTTGTTTCAAACTTGCAAAAATGACATTATTAAAAAAAAAATGTTTGACAATTTTTGCATTATGAATATATAACATTGTATCATCATGAATGCGTTATCTTTCAGGCGATAGAAAGAAATGCCTTCCTTGAGAATGAGCTGGACGAGAAAGAAAACCTTGGGGACACTGTACAGAGGCTGAAAGACGAAGCTAGAGGTATTGATACATGTAGCATCTATTAAAAATGACATACTTGATAAAATTTTGACAAAAAATACTGAACATCGAGCTGCCCTTTACTGTGATCATATAATGACCACCTCCTGTGGCTTAAATACTCTGCAACACGAAACATTTGTGCAGTTTAAGGTTTTCAAAGTAATGTGACGTTACTAACTTTTACTGTATTCCAGTAGACAACTGTAGAACTGCAGAGTACATGTATAATTTTTTGTGTTCAAAAACATAATTACAGAAATTTTATGACAATGGGCTTAAGATAAACACAAGAATTTTTTTCAAATTTTGTTTTTTTATTTTTTCCTGAAATATGTTAGGTCAGTTAAATCATGTTAATACTTTCACTTATATATAACACCTTCCCATTCTCATGTATGTACATCCATTCCTTTCAGATCTTCGTCAAGAACTTGATGTAGTCACGGTGAAGAAGCCCACAGTCCCTAAGGAGCACTCGCTGAAGGAGCCCGAGTCTCCAGATGGAACTAAGTCGTCACTGAGCCCCTCACCAGGCTCCACGGCCAACAATACACCAACCGACGGCAACAAGTTGGTGGATAGCGGCTACATGGGCTCCCAGATCATGGCCTCAACACCTAGTTTTAAACGTAAGGGATTCTTCGGACAGAGGAGGATATCATAGTATTTGGGTTCTTTTCATGAGTTCTCGCGGAAACCTCACAATACAGATATTATTGTGGCGCACAGTACCAGAGTTCACAGGGGAGCTCACAGCTCAAAAAAGGCTTACAGTAAAGGGTTTCTCAGGGGTAGTTATAGATGTAAAGGATAATTCATGGGGCTCTTTAGAATTTTTAGAATTATCATATCTCAGGCATTCTAAGAGAGAGGGGGGGGGGGCTCATATTACAGACATACTGAGGTGGGCTGATTACATTACATGAGTTTTGAGGGGACTCGTTTATAGTAAAGGGGGTGGGGGGCACAATAAACAAGAGGGTCTCAAGGAGTGGGGAACTACACAGGGATTGTCAATGAATCATAGTACCGGGGCTTCATTGAATATATTTTAAGTATCACCCTCATAGTTAATTCATATTTTGGGAATATCTGGTATAAAATATGAATAGGTAAGCAGGTATCAGTTGTATGCATGCCGATTTGTGTAATTGGTTTAAGTCCATTGCTTTTCACTGTGATGCCATCATGCTCCGTTCTGATGTTAACGGCTGCTTAATTAATTAAGGTCAGCAGTATGTGATACTAACAGCCCCACATTGGTGACTAATACTGTAATTGTAAGGACCTTGTCCAATGAGCTTATACATCATGTACCTGTTGGGACTTTGATTCGTGAGCGTGTACCTGTTTGGACATCGCCATGTTGGTGATTACCTGTTTGGACCTTGTCTGTGCTTTACCTGTGTAATGTGACTGTACCCAGCTTTGTCTCCTTATGGTTAAAACAATTCAGCAAAAAATGAATTAACTGTTTTCACTTCAATAATAGTTACAATACTTTAACATGTACATGTTCTACCAGCACTAATCATATGTATTATTAAAGATGACTGCGTTGTCTGTTTGAAATTGAAGACAGAAGATGACCATCTTTCAGGAGTGCTTGTTTGTTGGACAAGGAGAATTCCCCCAGGGGAGATAATAACGAATGAGAAGATTTTTTAGCTATGCAGTTTCTGTATGAATTTGGGTGCAGTCACTGTAAATTAAATTAAAGACGTTGCTGTAAGTGTTACAGTCGCTGTAGAGATTTGGTTACAGTCGCTGTAGGGATTAAGTTACAGTCGCTGTAGAGATTTGGGTACAGCCACAGTAGAGATATGTAGTGGTTGTGTTGCTTTGTTGCAGGTCTGCCCAGTACCAGTGGAGGTACGCCCCTCACTCCCTCTGCACGTATCTCCGCTCTCAACATTGTTGCAGATTTATTACGAAAAGTTGGAGTAAGTACCTTACCCAAGTAAATACAGGTACTTTAAGGCATTCGTAATGTGTGAAAGCTGCAAAGATAGCAAAATGCTGGGACAGGAACAGGTGAAAGTATATAATGCAATGATAATATTTGATCATTGGTCGACTTTCTGTGATCTTTCTTAGGAGTACATCAATGTGCTATGAATGCATGTGTTAATTATGATGTTTATTAATCATCTATTGTAGAAATATTATTTTTTTGAAAAATAAATATATATTCAAACTAAAAAATCTTCAGACAGGTCATGAAGAGTTATCTGCTCTTTGAATGATTTCTGTGCAGCTATTTCATATGTTAATGTTTGGTGAACAAATTCCATTATTTTTCATCACTATATATATATATACAAGATGTATATATGTGTGTTTGTTTGTGTGCGTGCTGCAGTGTATTTGTTCCTGAATACTTTGTTCGTGCACATCACAAAGCATGAATCCCATATTTTTAGATTTATCTATGGTAGACGTGATGTCTATGGCTGTGCAAGTATAGCCATCTCATCATCATTCAGCTGGCACTGCTCCATATATATATGTACTTATCGAAAACATCAATCTCGCAATATATAACCCTACTCTAGATCGTCATTTCCACTTTTGCTATATTTTGATTATAAATATTCATAAAGTAATGAAATATTCACCAGTTTATCGAAAATTTACAAGATCCAATGAAATCTCAAAAGGTGATAATGGCATTTAAGAAGGATGGCCAAATGTAGTTTTGAAGTAAAGCAAAACTGAACATGTGGATTATATAAATTTGGAATGAAATAACAAGAAATCAAGTGACATCAGGTTCAACTCTTTATTATTGTATGCACATAGCACAACAACATATCATGTAAGTAACGATCAGATTTTCTATCTAAACAAAATGAAAAAATATTAATCAAATTTCAATCTTGCACTTATACCTTGTATCGAGTCGTACGAATCCATAGTTTCGAATACTGAAAATAATATCTTTGTCTGTGTACTGGGTCTCCCTAACGTTAGGCTGCATGCATATATATGTACGACAGACACAATCTGCACATGACATTTGGCTGACGTATATTGATGGCCCCTGCATTACTTTCGTATTAAATTATATTTATACATTAATTGTGTTTTAATCAACCAGGCCCTGGAATCCAAGTTAGCCTCTTGTCGAAACTTTGTAAAGGACCAGCCAAGAAGTGGTAAGCCTGGAGGTACTGGTGGCAGTCCGTCAAATTCACCGAGGTCAGTATCTGCCGAGGGGTTTGTATCGAAATATAAATGTCGATACTTTAGTTCATGTTCGGTTGGTTCCATTATCCCTTGCCTGGATACCAACCAGTATTTCGCTCGAACAGTGGGCTTCGTCCTGAAGAATCCCACTGTTCGGGCAAAACAGGTAGACGTATTCTTATAAAGAAAATTCAACTTATCCTGAGCTTGTTGCGATTGACACCTATTCTTAAATATAAATGTTTAACATATGACATGGTGTAAAGTTGCCCCATATATGTCTTCTATGAGGTGACCAGTGGTGACCACGTCAGGTCTGTGTATATGAATGCAATTGTGTATGTACAACCTTAAGTCTAACTCACAAATTTTCCTTGTGGAATCGCACACTGATATCCTTTGATCATGTCTTCATATGGATTAAGTGTGAATTTTATTCAATAATAATGTAAATGTTAAGAGAATAATTATCACTGATTGTACAAAAAACATTTCAATCACAGGGGAAACTCAACGTTGGTGTTATAATTGATTAATTATTATAGATGAAACAAGATGTACTTGTCTTATTTCAAGCAGTTCTAAGGCAGTTTAAAAATTTAGATAAATGTTGTTTTGTTATGATCAGAGGGGCTGAAATTTGTCAGTTTTACTTTACAAAATTTAAAACATTACTGTAGAATAAAATTTGATAGAAAAAAAAATCAGAATTTTGTAATGTAAACTAGCAATATGACATACCAGTACAATGTTTTATCAACCTTTTTCATATAGTAAGTCATTTCCTATCAGATTCTGAAAAGCAGCAAGTCCTTGTATGTAAAACTATTGAACTTTGAAAATTCAACGGGTCAAAGTTGAAAAGTTGTGAACATTTCTATATCAAGGTTTTACTTTATACACCAACGATGTACGTATTTAACATGTTATGTTTCAAAACTGACTGGTCAAGCTATCGGTCATAGCAAAACTTTGATATTTAACACATTCCAAACTGATGAATCTTATTGAAGATAAATATTGAATGTAAATAAACACTGCCAGTAACGTAAAAAAACGTTCAAACTTCCTGTACTATTTGTTACTGTATACCGGGAAATTTTATCCCAGTCAAACTTTCGCCCTTCGCCAGTGAAATCAATTTCAGCCAAGTGTTAATTTCGGCCTTCACATTTAATTACTATGTTAATTATGCTGTTTACTTACGGGTATATTTGCTGTAATAATATTTGGCCCTCTTTGCCGAAAAGCAAAAACGGAAGAAATAACAGAAAGTTTTCGGTTATAAATACAGTACCGGTAGTTATCAGAACCAAATACATTTTGACTTTTGTTTCAAATTGATTGATGTATATTTGTTGACGTTTTGCTGTGTTAAGCCAAAATTTAAAAAATGTGTTTCCTGTTTCTGCTTGAAAAAAATAAGGGTCAGTATATGTAGGCGATTTTTTTCTTTTAATATTTTTTGACTTTGCTTATATAGAGCAGGAGTTCTGATTTTAACAATGCAAATCACTAAATGCCAATACAAACTTCCTGTGTTTATCCCAGGTCTGACGTCCTGCATGGTGCAAGACTAAGGTGACTTATAACACTAACTAAATCTACCGTCTTACCGTGGTATTGTGTTACATACAAGTTTATATACTGTGCATGATTGGATATCAATGGGAGTCATGTGGTTACTGTTCTAGGCATACTAAGTCGTAATTCTTGTCGTAGCTTGTTGCGTATTAGTTGATGGTCCAAGTCATTGCTTAAAAAATTTCGACTTTCAGTAAACAAACACTTTCCTTGAATTCATTTTGCTTCTGTTCCGTGTATTTGGTTTTGCTTTGAGAAACAGTAAATCACCTTGTAATTATGAGTTTTTTCACAGCACATTCTGTTTAGTTTTCATTTATTTTATTATTTTGAGAGAAGTTTAAGCTGCAATTTACAATACTAGTACTTGAAACAGTCAATGTTAAGTTATTCGAAAGGATTTTAATTTTGCCATGTTTAAATTTTGCCGTTCTATTTATTGAAGAAACTCACAGGGGCTTTAAACTCATGCAGGACTGTAAATTATAGAAGGCAATAGTCCTAACTATTCCTGTTAGAAAGGCAACAAATATGGAGTTTATGTTTACTTATCATAAGTCACAAATATATAGCGATAATCAAACCGTTTTGAGAAACAAATGCTATGCAGTAATAAGGGAACATCACTAATTGTATTGATGTGGGTTATCTCAGATATGAATACTCTTTAAAGGATGTAGGGTAGTGTACGTGATGGGCTCATGATCGATCATAATCAAAAATCGATCAGTTTACCCTTTCCGGTTCAAATTATCGATTACAAATTCCATAGTCGATATAATCAGTTCATCATTGAAATCAAAGTATTTAAATGTCTTCTATGTAAAAGTATGCTTTCAAAGTCATATATTCTTATGATTTATACTATATTATTGATAAAAGGCATTACAGTAGCTTGATATCCATTCGTTATAAAAGAACGAAACACAGTGTATAGCTAACAACTCTGTCTATTGATCTTATGGTAGTGTTCTCGCTTTGTTTCGGTATTCAGTCCCATAGAATTATAAACCGATTATGCAATCGATCATCGATGGGTTTACTACTTCTGATTATAAACCCTTTATTGATTACGATTTTACACCAATCGCCCATCACTAATGTAGAGGGTTTTAACCATTCGGTTTATTAGTAGTGATTGATGCACTTGATAGTAATTGTTCATTTCTGCAGAGCAGCTTTTGGTTAAAAAGAAAATAATAGGTGGCGGGTGATTTTACAATAGTGCCTTTAAATTTTAAGCCGTAGTACTTTTAGATTTGCACTTTATGTATGTAAGGAATGTTTTTGGAGGGTGTGGGGAGGGGGATGACATTTTACCTTTTGTTTTGGTGCCTTTTCAGTTCCTTTTGTCATATTTTTTCTGTCAATATTGTCCTTGTGCATCAACGTTGTTTCTGTTTAGATAAATTTATTTTATTTGGCAGTTCAACAGAGGCCAACAGTATTTTGTTGTACATGTAGTATGTCCTCTCAGAGATTCAACAAACTAGTACATGTACATGTATAATTATGTAGGCAGAATATTTGTCAAACATATCAGTCAAAAAGACGGGTGTAATTTTATTAACATTTATAACCAGATATTAACTAAGAATGATGATATATATTTTTACTTCATTAAAAAAAATAATCAATATGTATCATAATATTACTTACCCAGGGGAATTCTGGAATTTGAATAAAAACTGTAAGTCATAATCAGTGCTGTAATTATAATCTGCGCCCAGATGTTCAAAGCATGGTTAACTTATATATTACTGAGCTGGTTAACATGAGTTTTCAAAATGCAATTTTTGAGAACAATCAAAATATTTACGTTAGTTTTACTTTTGTGCTTCATGAGATAAAAGCTTAATGAATGCTTATTCATCAACTTAATTTTGAATTTCAGTCATTTTGAAACCTATATACTAGTTTAAAATTTTGCCCTCAGCTGAAGTAAGCTGATCAGCCTTTGAACAGCTGGGTCTTGATCTAACATTTTTATAATGTCTTTAATTTCATTTCTGGCAAGGTAAGATGATAACTTTGAGAACAAGTTTCATAAATCTCATATTACAAGTACATTGTAATTCAAAATATTTTCAGGATCCATTTTATCACATTAATTACCAAGAATGGACACAGTTATTTGCAAAAGTACACCTGTTTTCTCTTGTCATCATCAAGTTGTCGTTGTTGCACAATTTTGATTTTGCATATATTTTGTTTAGTGCATCATCGATGTGCCATGACACCATGTCTGTTGTCTTTGTTCTGACGTCATAATCAGTGATATTCCTTTCAAAATATGACATGGATGTAGAATCACTGCATAATTACACGCTAATCATAAAATACATGTTTTAAATTAAATAAAAAACACCTGTTTATATAGGGAATACAGTTAACTTATACTTAATGTGTTAAATGGTAAAAAAATGTAGGTCAAATTCAGCATCTGCAACATGTGTAATCAGTTGTGCGAATCCTGTTTCTATTTCCCATGCTCAACCAAGTTGTACAATTTTGTATGGTACAGAGTTTTACAAGCTCATAATGATATGTTAATTACTCTAGCAATCATTTAAACCAAATGTATGAAACAACTGTAGTGCAAACGTGTACAAGTTAACGTGGTTAATTGATAATTCCAGGTATGTACCATATCTTTAGTAATATTCTCAAAATGTAAAGAATATGTTCGGGATTAAATTATCAGGATTTCTGAAACTGAAAATACAGTGGTCTGGTATTACAATGTGTAGGATAACTGTTTGATAGAAGCCAAGATTGTCATAGAAATTATTCCGAAACCCGCATGTCATTTACTTAGTGTGTGTTAGCCGAAGCAGTAATTTTCTTAAGTGAAGTGTTGGAAATGGTTCGTAATATGACAATATGTAATTTAGTGGATATTGTGTTTGAAAGCTAGCTTCAAGCTTATGCTTTGCATTGTACAGTGGCAAACAATTGTCTTGGTTTTTATCTACCTGAACAATATGATGATTGAAAACGACCTATATAATAATTCTAGCCTAGGAAAAAATATTATTGTCTGATCTAAAAAAAAAAAAATGATATCAATGAAATTGTTTATAAAATAGCAAGATTTTTTTTCAGTTTTTCTCCATTCTTCCATAATGCTTTTTTTTACTCCATTTTTTCCTGCAATGAGTGAATTGTTTTTGTTATTTAGCTCTGTAACAGTACTTAGAAATAATCACTTACAAACTTGCCAAAGGCAAGATAAGTTAACCCTTTTTTCAGGTCAATATATTTAGCACTTGTCAGGTATGACAAGCTTTACATTATAAACCCATATTCCGTCTTTGCGTATTGCAGAGTTATCTTCTCTTGTGAGCAGGACTTGATTATTACGTCGTTTGTTTGTGAGAGTAACGTCATCAATTTTTGAGAAAACAACGTAATTTTCTCACACAAACCAATGACGTAACAATCAATACCTGCTCACAAGAGAAGATAACTCTGCAATACGCAAAGGCGGAATACTCATGTAACCAGCATTTTGATTTTAAGACATGAAAACGAATTGAAATCTTTGCCTGAAGTCTCTATAAAACACAATAATTCAAGATAAAGCTAATTGAAAATAAAAGACTTGAAGATTTTCTGATCAACTGTATTTTGATTTTGCAGGGCAAAGAGGTTAAACCGCGGAGCATCAGTCCCCCCTCAGCAGGGCGTGAAGATACCAGTATAGAGCACCGAGACTTTGTGACATACGGCCAGTGTTGTGAGGAACATGTTTCTAGGATTGGTCGCTGCACAGAGACAGAGAACAGGATATTTGTGTTTCCTGGAGACCAGAAAATTGTTTATGTATAAAGTGTGACGTCCTGGCATCATGCTGAGAGAGAGTGACAGCATGAGCCTCAAGAGTTTACGGTGCCAAGAAGCACACAACTTGTCAAACTCAACTTTTACTCCTAGGCTGGAGTGGACAAATTTGAAAAGAGGCGACACTGGACATATACATGATACATGATTGTAATGAAAAAGGTTTCTTGATGAGAAATCGGAAACAAATTTGGCCAATTTGACGATATTTTTTGGTTTGACATTTGAGAACTTGGTGTGACTATATAGCATAAATAAGCCTTATAATATACTTGTGAGAGAAATTGTTTTGATCGTGTTAAGAACACATTATGGGAAACTACGTGGATATTGTGTGTTTACGATGCATACAGTATTGCTGTTGCGAGTGCCGTACGTCTATTTTACAGAAAATACTGATATTATATATATATATTATAATAGCAGCTCTTTGACTATATAGAGTGCTCATGTCGCTGTCATATTTGTGGTTGTACTGAAATAATTCCTGTATGCCGGGAAATTTTCACCACGGCGTTACCTTTGCCTTGTTCGACCTCCGTAAGTGGACGTACGTATTTATCATGACACTAAATATAAGTAAACCATGTTTCAAGTGGTGACATGTGAAGGACGAAATTAATACATGGGCGAAAATAGATTTTAACGTCAAAGGGCCAAAGTTTGACTGAACGGAAATTTCCAGGTATACATTATTCCATATTATGAAGTGTTGTCATTTTTTTAATGTTGACGCTGAACCATGCCTGATTTGAGGGACCTTACGGGAGATTTCTTTTTTCTTACTTTATTTTTTTTCTTATATTTTAAGGATATATCATCTTTTTTTGAGCTGATTTAAACACATCAAAATTTTGATTCTAAAGCAACATATAAGTATGAGAACAGAATCATAGAGTAAGGCTAGTAAGTGGTTGTTATCTACTGCACATAGTACATTAAATTATCAAAACCATTGTATATCTCAAAATATCAATATTGGTTCATATTGACCATATCACCCCTGTATAATTTTAGTAAACTCTGCTCTGCATTGATCTGGTGGAGTCCATTCTGGTCTGCAGTGTTGAACTGGGGTTAAATATGCATATTGAGCTTTTTCTTACGTTAAATGCCATGCATGTAATATGAATTACATTTCAATACTCGATATTCACCTGGGTAATGTAAACATATTTGTATTTGTACTTGCATAACTTTTGATTCAGTTTTATCAAATACAACTAACTTTCCAGAGATTTGAGATTGATCCTTAGTGAATCTGATCAGGTTTTTTAAATAACATAATTTCAGAGAGAAACAAACCATAATACCATTAACTCATTCACCCCTGAAGACGCATTTGAACTCTTCCAATTCAAAGGTTGGAATAGTGCATTATGAAATTTCAAGGGTGAATGGGTTAAGTATTACATTCAGTAGAGGTTATAGTCAACATTTAGTAGGGAATTTAACTAGACATAGTCTGTCAATGAAAAAACAATCTGTCAATTTATATTAAACATACTTGAATTCTAAATGAAAACAATTCACAACAGCTCTCCAAGGTATTTTATACTGTCAGTATTACCAAACAGATATTACACTATATACTACTATCTGTACATTCGATGGTTACGTATATCAAGGAATCTCAAACTGTAATACTAATAGGGCTATAACCAAAGGATCAGGGCACCTCTTTATCTACACCACTGTTTGCACAGAAAAGCAAATTTTTTTTTTCGTCAAAAGTCAAATATAGTTACTTAGAATGAACATGGGTTAGTTTGAATCTAGTTTGGTAAAATACATTGAAATTTATTTTCATCATGGCTGCTTTCGTTTAACGCGATCCAACGGCCAGTTGTTCATTTAAGAAATAAAGTCGGACCTACAATGTAGTAATCGGATGCTAGCTCAGTTTTCAGGTGAGCCTTGACAAAGCCTTGCAAGGTCTGCATGAACTTTTGCAGGTCCACCAGGATTTATCCGAAAAAAATGTTAACATTTAAAATCAGACGAACCGCTTGTTCCGATAAACGAACAGGCCCCATGTTTAAGTCCTTTAAGGCCTTGTTTTGGTAAAAATTTGAAATGGAATTTCACAAGTATAATGAATACCTCAACTGATACTATAAACTAGTGCTGACCATAACTCATTTCACATTTAGAATGTTTGTTTGTATTTTTTTTCTGTCTAGGTTCATACATTTTGGTTTTAGCACATTAATTCAGGGGCATGTATACATGTATATATACAAGATAAAAAAACGCTGAGTCAGCATTACTTGCCTTCTATACATAAATTCTGAGGTATTTGGAGTTTGTTCTGACTTTTTTCATGCCTCATTCATGATTTTGTTTGAAAAAGTCAAGATATTTTTTATTATTTTATAACTTCATTAAAAACAGTTCGTTTATGAAAGTGATCAGATTATCTTACTCAGTCATAAAGAACAGGATAATGAGTTTGCATCATCCCTTAGGTGTTCTGACCAGAAGATTTTGTGAACTGTACTTGACATTTTTGATTTGATATGTAAGTAAATAATGTGATAATTACGAACACATCATGTATTGTACATCCCATTTGCATCAGAGTTCTGTGTTTTTCCCCCAAGTTCTTGCCCCTGGCTACCTCTCTCATCATGCTGTTCTGGAAATGGCTTCAGACTCATCATAGACTTATATCCTTACAGTGTCAAATCATCCCACACATAAATATTATAATAAATTAATACCCTGCTTTATGACACCGACAACTTCTGTCCGTGTTCATCCGTATGATACTTATCCCATGTGTAAACTTGACACTCCCAAAATAGATTGACCTACATTTTGTGGAGCTCTTGCATTAGGACAAAAAAATAAAATGCTTTATAGGTAAATTCTACCTGTGATTGATATTAAATCTGCATTTAGGATCCCTGTTCTGCTGCCAAAACTGTATCTATGGACTTTTATAAGTGTTTGCGAATTGTTTCTGAAAAGAAAAACCAGACCTTAGACATTTAACCCATTCACCCCTGAAGACACATTTTAGCTCTTCCACTTCAAAGGTTGGAAGAGGTGATTGGGTTCAGGTAACTTTTACGACAAAAAAATAAGGATAAGTAAACAAAATAAAAATCAACAGAGTGAAAATGCCAAGGGACCAGACCAGGATTTGAACTCTGGGCCTCCGATCGTTAATCTGTCACACTAAACAGCTAAGCTATCTTATGAACCATAAACGTATGGCTTAATCATGCTAGTTATTTCCAGAATGAAATTAAGGGGAGATTACTCTACATACCAAAAAAAAAAAAATTGGAATTCTCCTGCTTCTTTGCCTTCAGTGGGATGGGGATCCTAAAAGTCAGTGAAAAACTGCCATGGCAAATATTAGGCTGTAGAATTCATGTATTTATACTTCTAAAAAAACACTTTGAAAAAGAATTGTGTAGATCTAAATAACTTCTGCAGTGTATGAAAAATTCAGATGAGGTTTTCTGTGAATTTAATTAAACGGGTTTGACACCGTAAAGATATTCATTGTTTTTCCGAATGGCACTGTTTTATAATTTGTAATGTCGTTCCAAATTCTATTCTATCTCATTCCATTGTATTATGGTATATATTTGTTATTGTCACGCTGTTAGTTACTCACCATTGTTTCTTCTCAGTTTTCAAACCAGATGTTTTTTTGTGGTGATTCCAAAGACATCTATTATTATGCTTTAATTAATGATTGTGTAAATAACTTGTGGTAGGATTTTTCTATGCAATATCAATTTTGAACACTCACTCAAGTAAATTGCCAAAGTGGTGAGCTAATTAATACACTGTGCCAAAAGTATTTGATATTTGCCTGCATATACTCTACAATTCATGCATCTTTCTTTTTTTTTTTCAATGAACTTTCCCAATTATTATTAATTATTGCATCATTAAAAATGAAATTAGACACCCTGTACGTTTTTGATCTGCTTATGTTTCCATATTTTCTCGTGGAAGGATTTGAAAAATATGGTTAGTTATTCTCTGAAATTATGATATTATTTCACTGCTAATATTTTGTAAAGCAAAGAAAATAATTGCATAGTAAAAAAGGTCTCATCTTACTAACTTTCCATAACTTGAAAATTACCGAAGAAAATAGAATGGAAATATTTTCAAATAATAATATTCAAAATTAATCTCTCGGTACGTGAAATTTTGTTTCAGTTGCACTATAGTAAGTGCCAGGAAAATACCAATGAAAAAAAGTAAAATTGAATGAAATGTAGAATAAATCTTGGCAAATCGCGAATTCTTTCGGCACAATGCTGTATTATTGTAATTGTAAATAAGAGCGTTCTGCTGTCTCATGTACAGTGTATAGAAGAGAATTCAATGTGTTCAGTTTTAGTAGAAAGTCAGTGTGTTACCTTAGTGTGTTACCTTAGTTCATAGAACTGCCGAAAAATATGTCCAGTTTCTTTTAGTAAATGTCAATGATTTTGTAGATGTAAATAGCGTACTTGAAGCATGGATATATTTAAACAAAGATACTCAAACTATAAGGTATACAATGAATTAGCATAGATTAGAATCTAGATAGATTTAACTCATTCACCCCTGAAATTTCATAATGAACTATTCCAACCTTTGAATTGGAAGAGTTCAAATGTGTCTTCAGGGATGAAGAGATAAGGAATCCAAATTAATTTCAGAAATAAATCCTTTCAAAATGACACAATATTTTTTAGGAATGGGTAGGGCTGTTTCCTTCAAATATATAGATTTTAACTGTCACCATTTTCATAAGATATACAATGTTTATATCTATATTATTATAATTCTTCGATAATAGAAATGTATAACACCAATATTGTCAAGTGTATACAAACACTATATACTAATTAAACTATAGCATTAACAGTAAAAACACATGCACTCAGGTAATTAATAAATTATGAATCTTACTTTTATGATAATAAATCCAATTCATACGCCATAAATAATCATCTATTTAAGTCATAAATATCATATATTAACATGTTTCATCACAGGAAAAAAAGTGAAGTCAAATTTAAACTTTAGTAATGTGTTTTTTTCTAAATAACAAAATCCTAAACTATAATGAAGCAATAAATTATAAGTTTTTTGAATGTCAGTATTTTATTAAAAAGATAATATGCATTAAGTAAGTTTGGAAGTCAAAGTAAAATAAAAAAAAATGTGTAATTTTTTGTTAGAATAATTACTTTAATAATTTTATATTTCTTCGATAAATAAAATTTCAATTAATAGGTTTTGGTTTTGGTTGTATGAAAATATAATCTACTGATGAAAATATGATCTACTGACTGTTAGTATAAGCATGTGTAACTTAAGGGTTTAATTATCTTTGAAATCAAGGATTCTGCTCTTGATACAAAAATCTTCTTTTGCCCTTGAAACATGTCTATAATTGAAAATCAGAGGTTCTCAGTAACCTATTTGAATGGATTTAGGTATAACAACCTGACCAATCGCTAGGCTGATACCTGTCCTTTGGGGACAGAGAAGCTGCACCCAGCTTAAAAGCTTGTCAATATTACCGTTATGCTGCCTCGTGATTCCTTTAATCTTTAACAAAGACATTTGACTGGAGCTACTTGTATTGTCCGCAGGTTGTTGGATAAGAGCTTCAATTTTGTCATGATATTATCCCAAGAGTATACTGCAAAGACATGTTTCAAAAGCAGAACCCTTTAATTTCAAAGGTTGGGTTTAAACTGTGCCCTTTGAATTCATGAATTTATGTCAGTTTGTTATCGGGGGTGGGGGTTTGTCTTTGTCAACCAATTGTGAACTAATTAAAATTGTACATATTAATTATGAAAAATATCTATAGGAAATCATGTGTAACATTTGATGGTGTTGTCGCATGTGTGTATCAAGGTTAGGGAATGAGTGATTTTGATGTTGTTGCTGCTGTGTACGAATGTTCTGACTCGTCAAGATATCATATAGAGCTTTAGAAGTAGTGTTTTGTTCCGAGTAGCCCTATCCCGCTTCTAGCTGTAGATGTAGTGATTTATCTATAAATAGGGTGTTAGTTCTTTAAATGTCGGGAAGTCCTAAGGTCCTTTATAACTCATTCACCCCTGAAGACATATTTGAACTCTTCCAATTCAAAGGTTGGAATAGTTCATTATGAAATTTCAGGGGTCCTTTTTAGTGCCAGTTTTTTTCACATGTTGCAATGTATGTAGAAGAGGCTTAGCTTTTTTTTTTCAAATTTTGCTTTTTCCCCCAAACTAGTTTTGAAGTTGTTTTTAAAGAATTTTTCTCCAAGATCATGTGCGTATCAATTTTTCCTAACGGTGTCAGTGTCTTTGATGTCAATACAATTAATTAACATGCATGTTCAGTAAGATATGAAAAAAACTGCTAAGGATTTATGCTCTACAGTATTACATGTGTAACAGTTAACATTGATAGCACTATCCTCTTTCAAGAAACAGGATCCCAAATAGTTTATATATATATATATAAACAAACATGTGAAAAAAAATCCTGAAGAAAATTGGGGTCCCTTGTAGTTATTTAGCTTATTCTGATACAAAAACAAAAAGAGGGTATGTGTGATCAATAAGTTTTGTTTCCAAGTTACCGTAAGCATGACATGTTTTAGTTTTGAACCTATTGATGCAAGCTTGAGGTGATTCCTCGCCATTTTGTATACAGAACTGCATGCCTACAGTGTATCATACAGTTTCACCTGATCCAAACCACATGACCCAATAAAGATCATATTTAGTACAATGCATATGATGTTCACAATGTTTTAGTGTTCTACCTTTTTCATTAGAATGTACAAAATCATAACTTCTTGTCAATGTTTAATATTTCAATTAATCTTAACAAATTGAAAATCATGATCCAGTAAAAAAGAATTATCGTACATTTCTTATATCTCATTTCTACAAATCTCAGATGTTTAAACCCCACCATATTGTGGTTAGTACAAGAGGTTGTCAGATTTCTAACCCACAACTAATACATCGTAGATTCTGTAATAATACTAAATGCCTAATCTGGCAAAATAATGAAATGATCCTAATGTTAAATTGAACTTCATCGCTAAAGAGTTGATGGTAGGTTAAATTTTTATCATCTGTATCATCCTGCACAGTAATAAATAACTTATTGTTTATGAAGAGTCATAGTCTATCAACATACTACACTTACATATGGTTTAACATATAAGAGAGGTCAGAGTTACTGAAATTCAGCCAAACTAAATCAAAATGAATTAAAAAAAGTGATATTTCATTGTTACCTCAGTTATAACTACAATCACTCTTGCAAGATATTTTTAAATGGATTATTGGAAAGGATCTTCATGTTAGGGGTTTTCAAATGAAATCCCAAGGGAACAGCTGGACCAAAAGGCAGGCTGTCTCCTCTTGCTTCCTAAAGAGTTGTGCTAGCTTTAGACTACATACTAATATGCATAAACAACAGACAATAGGGCTTTGTGATTTTCTAATGCATGTAATAAACATTCTTTTAAAAATCAAAGCACTTTGAAAAGATATTAAAAAGATGTCATGAAATAATATTCAAAATGGAAAAAAATCAATAATATTTCTTCTGTTAGTAAATTATCAAGTATGGTTCTTTTGTAAGTTTGAAATTGGTTCCAAAATAGTAAACAGTTTTTTGTCTATTGAAAGTATTTTTTCAACTTAAAAAGACAGTTATTTTTATATTTATTTTTCCTTTACCTTTTGTGTCAAGGTAAAGGACATTGATTTGGAGATATTAAAATAAAAATTATGCATTGTTCCAAGTATAAAAAACTACTGTATCGATCAGTCAGCCTATAATATGTAATGTATTTGTACTTTGCTTCTCTCAATGGACACACCCATTTACGCTTGACAAGATCGCTATGGTGATCAAAGGTTCTTTTCTTTATTCAAGCTTCATACATCAATGGTAATATGGTAATAATAAACTGGTCAAATATTTACCTGTGTTTCTTTTTTGTTATTTCATGATAATTAGTCCCAACTGGTGATAACAGGTTTGCAATCATGGGGCAAATCTTCTTTTCTATTTCTCCTTGAGTCGCCAGATTTTGTATGCAGGTACATGTCTTGGCTGGTGGAGTGAAAAATCATTCCTTTCCATAGTTTTATATTGTTTCTTATTTTGTGAAACATACCTTGTGCTGCATTTTACAAAGTTACAGTTAAAAAAAAATTGTATTTTGAAACAAAGATATTAAAAATTAGAAAAGAAAAAAGAAGTAAAGTTGCATATCAATCTGCTGCTAAATTAATATATATAAACTTCATTTAATTTACAACAATTATGAAAGAAGTTATTTCAACTTATAGTAATCACTCTTGTTGTGCCAGATGTGGGTGTGCACAGGGTCTTAAAATGGGAGGGAACTAGAGTACACGGAGATAACCCATGTGGTTGGGCAGGTGACACCAAATCTTTCAGGTCTGATCTGGGAATCGAACCCTGACCGCCTTGGTAAAAAGCAATAGCACTATCCACTGGGCCACAAGACCACCCAATCAATCTGCTGCTAATCCCACACTTTACCAATGCTGCTATCCAGGAATTGTTAATGCTCAGTATCAAAATGAAAGATGAATACCAGAAAAAAATTCTCCTTTTTATGTTGCTTTATCTTATGTTCATGTGTATAAGGGGGAATAACCCAAAACTCCAATTTGGGGAAAAAATAAATGGCTCTGAAAAGGAAATTTTCCAATTATAAATAATGCAGTGATACACATTACCTTAATATAGTGAAAAAGTGCTCAGCTTAAATGACTCAAGTTTACATTGAACACGTGAATAAATTTAAGCATAAAGATCTACAATTAAAGACATTATGTGTATACAAACATTATTCTTTTTAAACTGATGAGAAGAGGAAAAAATTAAAGAAATGCACTACAAACTTTCAAACACAAAACATCATAACGATACAAACAAATGAATCACTATTATACAAAGTTTACATTTATATGCAACATTAACAATCATTATATCTTTGAATTCTGTTTATGTGTCCCCATTTACATGGGGCATATAGTGGTAAGTTCCTTCCATCCTGCCATTGTCTGTGTTTAGTTTATAACTCTGTACTGTTGCATCCAATCTTTACGATACTTCACACCATTGCTGACCAAAGGATATGTCATGGCCTTGACCTATACAGTAAGATTTCCAAAGTTAAGGACGGGGGCTTTGACATCTAAAAAGTAGTCGTCTTTGCCATTGCTCTTTATCCCTTTACTGGATTTTGATCATACTACAAATAATAATGCCAGGATAGTCATGACCTTGACACAACATATATTCAAGGTCATAGAGCATGGACTACTAAATTGGTATTGGGGCAATATATATAACATAATACCCATTAGCTTCAGCATTGTTACCAGTTAGTGCTCAAGTAGGGTTTTTTTTGCAGCCTTGACATAAGATTGTGTCCTCAAGGTCAAGGTCATAAGTAGCAAGAGAATAATTGCTAAATAAATAATAATATTTTAGTCTATCCGGGAGCGGATCAATAAATGTTCCTGGCATGAAATGTTCGTTCACTTGATGGCATGTTGATGGAAGTGTGTAGACGAGTTTTGGCTTAAAAGGAATTATTAATTTCTTTTTTTTTTTTCCATTTTTTCTTTCTCTACTTACGCATATATGCTATACTGATATGGATCACAACACGCATATATCATTTGTAACGAACCCCTATGCTCTGCTTGTTGAACAAACTAGTTATCAAACTTCTGATAATACGTTTGGATTGATTAACTTGTTATTATAATGCATAAGAAGTGGTCTTTTCTTTTACCACGGCAAACCGAAAGTAGACATTGAATGATAAGAGTGACCTCCCTTTACGGATATGCTGAAACATTGCCTTTTCGCGGGAACGAGACCATTTACGGAAACACTTTCATTACGTTATGTATTACTCGTCAAACCCCAAACCAGGTAACGTTGGAGACTTCCTGCATGAGCCTACACAGGAGAGCGAAGATGTTGAATTTCAACGGGCTGACAGCCAGTACGAAGACAAATCTGAAAGGTTTCTCCTGAAAGATAAGAACTTCGCCCGCCAGTATGCACACTTGTATGCGGAAAGATTGTGGATGATGAGAGGAAAACTGGAGAAGGCAGCCAGAAATAAATGGGGTAATATATCAACAATATTTTTATAAAGCTGGTATAAAACTTGACAAACACATATATACAAATAGTATCGTCAAGGTATTTCATACGGCGTCATGTGTATATATATTTGTAATGGGCTCAAAGTCATAACTTTTCTCAAAATGAATAAAGTACGGAAGTCGCTTCGTATATACTCATGTCAAGAACAATGTCAATAATTACCTTTGCAGAAACGATTTGTCGAAAATATTTCTGATTTTGTCTGAAAAGTAACTAAATGCGGAATTTGAATGGCGCAAAATTGCAATGAATAATGAAATGATGACATGTATAGAATTCTGATTGGATATTTTACAATAATTCATAAAGCTAACAAGACATTTGATACAAGTCAAGCCATATTACCTGAGTGAGAACCTGTAGTGAATGGTGTACCTGTAGGTAAAAACTCACTTGCTTTGCATGCTTTTTTCCAACCTCGGTCAGCCTTGTTCGCTTTGTGCTCAGTTGTGATTTATTCAGGGGAAATATATGCCATTATTCAGGAGATTTGACACATTTTCTTACATTTTTCTCGGCAAATGCATCTATGTGGACATCCAACCTTATGATATTTACAAGTTTAAATGGATTTCTTTCTGAATTGTGACTTTTATTCAGCTTGGAAAATAAACATATAAAAATTGAGTTTTTTCATTAGTTGTTGAATATTTTTTCTGAAATTTAGTGTGCATGAACCTCAATTATGTTAAAGAAATATTGGAGGGTTTTTTTGTGACAGGGAATGTATAATGCTTATGGAATGCATTGAATTTGATATACAGTTTGGTGTGGCAGCCATATATTGGAATGACCTTAAATTGACCTCGCCTCTGCTGTCTAAATGTTGACACTAGAACACCTTACATTCAGTAGACCGTACTAGCCCTGACACCAGACTTTTTAAATTTAATACCTCTTTTGAATATATATATGTGTAACGTAGGCATTCATCCAGCCAGTGACCATACCCAATATGTATGTGGCTTAACTATAAGACACATCCCAGGGTTATACCAAATTGCTTGAGAAGGCAGTACTTTTCTGTATATGTTACTCTTCCGTCCTGCTACACTATTCTCCCTCTGAGAAGAGTAATCCCAAGACTTGGTTCATGTGTCCCTAGTCACTGGGTGGTTAGTGGTTTATAAGTACCCAAGGTTAAAGAATTTGAATCCTCGCAGCAGATTGGCTGAGGGTTTAGAGATCAGCCAATGGAATTGAAGGTCTCACAGACGTTTCGGCTGAAGCGGCATACACTAATATTCAGATTGTGACGTATCGAAAATCTGGAAAAACATATCGTGAATCGAATCGAACATAAATAATCGCGGTACAAGTGCATCGCGTTGAATCGTGACGCCTCTACTAATAGAGCGTGTCTCTGGGGTATTTATCACATCACTGGAATATCTGTTTTGCTAGTAAGAAAATATTTTTTTCTCATTTTCCTTTATTGATACACATATCTGATATTGTACTTAATTCCGACATAATTCAGTTGTCTTGCATTACATAAATATATGAAAGAGATATTGGTTGAATTCCCACATTTACGACTGTTTGTGAAATTCCTTTGTACTTTGTGGTTGAATGCGCTGTACCTTTACCTTTTCTATATAAATAGTTCAAATTTTGGATTTCAGTTCAGCTATTGAACAATGTTTAGGTATATATCTGAACTACGTTTGAAGTCTTTGAAACATTGTACAGATAAAATGCCGCAAAAAACATCACTGCACATAGAAGTGTCTAACCAAAAGTTGACATAATTAACAATAAACGAGATCATCACAATTTTTCATAAACTAATTGAAAAGTGGAAGAACAAAATCAATCAGCCATTAACATGCCAATTACAAGGGGCCTTACATTAAAAAAGACAGTCTCGGATCTAGAATAGTCGAAGCCCGGGTTCCAAACTTGTTCATGAATGTGGTCTTCATGATGTAAATGTAGCTATAGATGTATATAGCTGAATACCGACTGGTTGTGGATGTCGTTAAGTTTAATGAAACATATATATTACAGTGATAAATTATCATAATGCATATTATTCGTTGAAATTTTTAAGCTTGCAGATCTAGCTATGTAATGTTTTTGTTATTTTTTATCAATTTTCACAGGGAAAGATGTAAATGTGAAGAAACTTCACGAGCTTCAAAATAATGAAAAATGTGTAATTATTGGAACACTGTTCAAACACATGGAACTTCAGCCCAGTATTTTGAAGGAGATCAGTGAGGAGGTACGTAAACGTAAAACCCTTTCACCACTGTAGACCATAAATGAACCCCTCCATATCAATGCATGGTAGAGTCTACTAAAGTTACATAGGGATCAAAGGGTTAATATGCCTTCCTTTCGCGAAATTTGATTTGTTTGTGATTTACATCCTATGAACAGCTATAGCCATCTAATGAGTAATGAGAAGAAAGGTTTTGGTGGCAGAGGAAAACATGAGAACCAGGAGAAACACTAATGACTTGAGGCCAGTACTTGGCGGCTGTCACACGTAGGGCTCAAACCTGTGACCCAGTAGTAGAGGGCTGTTGATTATATAGACAGTCGAATGCTTTAAGCACTTGGTTACTGTGGCTCAAAATAATTAGGCTACCGTGACTTTCACGTCCAGGCCAAATGTTGAATAAGTGCAAAGCAAATGTAAGGTTTACTGGGGCCTGTTCGATTTTCGGTTATAAATCATGGCGGACCTGCAAATGTTTATGTAGGCTTTGGAAGGCTTCGTCAAGACTCGCATAAAAGCGTCATCAGATTACAATTACTAGGTTGGACAGCTGTATTCTATTAACGAACAACTTTGGTCCTACCGGCTCAACCGTTTGAAACCTGATAATCGAAAGCTGCCCTGGTTAATAAAGGGAGACAGACATTTTGCTTTCAAAATAAATGCTAAAAGATATTCCAATAAGCATAAAACAGACTTTTGAAAGTGGTGGGAAATAGTTCAAATTTTGTAATCAATGGTTGGTTTGACAAAAATCTTAAAATTGATGTGATCCATATTATATTCTGACAACAACTTATCATAAAATCAAGCACATCTTTCCTTTGGCAATATATATATCGGGATACGTATCACAATATATATTCATTCTGTATTGCAATATATTGTGATACACTCTTGGCGTATTGTGATACACTCTTGGCGTATTGTGACACCCCTAAACGTTTGTGTCACTGCAACTAGACTTGAATTTAGTCCTGTTACTTTTGTTATTCAGCATAACCTGATGCCCCAACCATTGAGAACCCGGTTCGTGAACGACACAGACAAACTTATCCTGGAAGATGAATTACAAAGAATTATACTGCTGGGTAAAATAGATACTCCCACTTCGGTTACAGGTAAGAATGAAAAGTATTACTGAAATAAAATCGGGGGGAAACCATTGTCTCTTCCTCTGAAAATTTCTGTCAGTAAACAACTTTTGATGAGGTGATGATAAAAAATGATTAGAAATTTGTAAAAAAATATACATTTTATAATCAACTATTAATCAATGCCAAAATTGAAAAGCGGATAAATCAATAAAGATTGGCAATCGTCGGAAACCTTGAAGAATGATAGATTAGAGTAGGACATTTTCGATGCCTTTAGTTGTGTAGTAGCTCCGTCATTCCATTGTGTTAGGGTAGTTGTACTGTACACCTGAATAACATGACTCCTTCATTTATATCTATAAGTCTTTGTTCAGTAGTTTACTGAAAACACGCATGTGATCATGGACCGAGCTATTTTCAAATTTCATAAATATACTGTACCCTTTCAGTCCATGCGAAATACAAATTTTCTTACACATTCGGTCAGGTAACTATCTTGTCGGATCGGAACAAATTTTACAGGACATTTTCGGTCAGGTTTAATAGCATGAAATACTTATAATTACCAGTCCATAGAAAAAGAAAAAGAAACTTGCAAAACTTGTTTGATGTGTACAATAACTAAATTAAAAAAATTAACTGGGTATATTTTTGGCAGTGGTTTCCTGGGGTTTCAGCCCAGTCTCGTATTGAAGCATAATTCTTCACTCCATCAATGCCAATACAGGTTACTGCAGCGCTTGACTGCATTGAATATTACAGGAACATTTAAAATGCTCAAGTGATATGACTCGAGACGACTCTATGGTAGAAAACGTATGCCGGACATTTGGTCCAAATTACGATAGTGATTGCTGGACCGGAAGTAAATATTACCGGACATGTCCATCGGACCGGCATGGCTGTACATGTACAGAAAAGAACATTATAACTTATAAGATTACTGGGTACCTACCTGTATGTTGTTAATCCCTAGCAACTAACTGTATATCCTTGGACACAACTAACACAACAATGCATATGATGAAAACATTTAAAATTATAACACCTTCAGATGAAAACACACATTTATTTATTGAAGACAATGTAACAACATCTGGTCGTTGTGAGGACATATTTTTGGTATTGTGAGATTTATGGCATGTTAAATGTTGGCTCATTCATTGCAAGCGCCAAATAAACCAACATATACCCACATCCAATATATCCCAAAGTAGGGTACAGGTACACTAGTCCATATATGTAGCATTACATCAAGTAGTAGGTATTAAAGGGACTATTGCCTTATATTTCAAACCCAGGAACAGGGTATCCGTCATATAAATGATTAAATATACGGAAAACAAAGAGATATGCATGACAATGCTGTCTACTTGGTTGATATGGACATATTTTTCTTGAGTGGAAAGTCTGTTTCTTGGCTGGCGTTTCAATATATGCGTGCCATGCTCGTTTTCCTCGAAAAATGTCGAATTGATCGCATCGTCTGTCGCATCACAATTCCATCACAACAAAACATGGGTTCTTGCTCATAATGCTGGAGTTCGTAGAATTTTATCCCGATGTTTCTTGATAGACCTTGGAAAATGTAACAACTTGACAGTCTTATTGTCTTTAACAGTAATGTTTCAAATTTTATTTTTATTTTTATTTTGTTTCGATTTATGACATAGTTTTCCTTTTGGCAGCAACAACAAATTACGGCCACTTTATGGAATTACCAAATGGTGTGTAAACATGTCATGATATGGTTCAAACCACACCATGAGACAATTATTGCACAAAAACCACTTTGTTAAAAAATGCAACTCGACAAAATAAGACAAAATTCAGTCAAAACAGCTAACCTTTTGGTCCACTCCACCCTACAACCCGTGAATTTATGGTATCGTTCAGCTGCTAACTAACCTTTCCTGGCCCTGTCATGCTTAAAGCTTACAATTGTATGGCTTCTGGGGGCCAAAACCCCCCTAAACCCCTATTCTGGCACCACCCCTTGACCCCAGTTTCAATTTGCAAATTAAACCCTCCACCCCCTTTCCCCCTCCCTCCCTCATCACAAAATCAGTTTCATTCTGCCAAGGCTACAGCCATGCATATGACCTTGACTGATTCCCTTGAGATTTCAGCAGTTCCATCAACATTTTGTGTAAACATAACCTACAAATAGTATTTTAATATTATTACTCTAAATGTTATACCGGAGTTCTGTATGACTGTGACATTTGTAAATTTGATATTCCAGCATCAGCGGACTCAACGAACTGTTTAACATCATTTGTTAAACTTGGTCAAAACACAATGATGCAGAATCCTGTAGTCATAATATCCATATTTGTAGTTCAAACACATGTACATTTTTCGCATCCCAGGCAAGGTTATCCCANAAACCCCCCCCCCCCCCCCCCCACAGCGATGCGTCATCCGTGCGATAACAGATTGAAGTTGATAATCCGCATTATAACTATTCTGTTTTGTCGTCACATTTAATGTTGTGATGTTGTTATTCCCGATGTTGTAGAAAAAATATAATAAAATCTTATATTCGTTGTTTTCTTTGCAAGGATGCATTTAAATGTAGCTTTAGTAGACAATAGGCTTTATTTTGTTGAGGCCCCAGGTTGGTTCTTGTTGTAGACTTCAGCGAAATCAAATAGATTTTTTGGACTAAAAGGTGTGAGAGAAAAAAATAACTGAGCAAATATCGGGTTATCCCAGTCTCGGGCTAAGTTTCTGTAACATCCAAACCTCGGCTTACACTTTAGTTGGGATTATTAGATTTTCTTAACCCTTTCAACCCTATGTAACTTTAGTAGACTCTACCATGCATTGTTCTGGATGAATCTATTGTGGTCTACAGGCGTGAAAGGGTTAATCCGTGATCCCAAAGATTCACAGGAAATCTGTCTTCTCAGATACACATGCACACGCAATTCAATTATAGGACCAGATTTACAGTAAATACAGTTCAACCGATGCTCAATCTGATATCTCTGTGTAAAGCACTCAACAACAGGCTATAAGGTTGGGTAACTGTCACACTATGAATATCACTGCATGTTAACTCATTCACCCCTGAAATTTCATAATGAAATATTCCAATCTTTGAATTGGAAGAGTTTAAATGTGTCTTCAGGGGTGAATGAGTTAAGTAGCGTGATCATTTACTTATAAATTACCAGTCAGTGTGTCGAGCAACAACTATGGAACGTTGGAATCAAACAGGAATACACAACGTGTCTGCTGCATTCTGAGCAAACTACTTTACTTACCTCTATTAAGGTATTCAACCCTCCCAGTTTAGTTTCTTTGCACTCTCCGTCACAAAAGCGGGATAGCTTGCTTTGCATATATAGCTTGGCCATGTCAGTTTCCGTTCCTTGATACAAACACATGAGCAGAGCTATACTTACGAGAGTTAATTTGTGGGTCATATAAAAAAAAAATGTTGTTTCCAAAACCCATTAAATGTGCTTGCAAGTATATATATTGATATTCTTTGTGAAATAAAACTTAAAAGGAACTTAAAAAAATTGTGGAGCTCATCAAGCAGGCAACAGTGAACGAGTATGTTTATAATTAAATTAATGGTCACTTGATAGAAACTTGTATTAAGGTCCATCACTGCTAAAGCTGGTCCTTATGAAAGTGTAGTTTTTATCTATATAGGCCCTTATATGGGTACATTTTCAGTCTATTTTTAAATCCACAGGAGTCATTATGGCAGTGTATGGTATTGAGCCAGAGGATGATCAAGGAAAATTCCATGTTGAAGATTACTGCTTCCAGGAACTACCTGCTCAAGTCCCTAGGCCTGCACTAAAACAAGACAAGTAAGCACTCCAGACTTGAAGCAATCGTTTTCACAAACATTCGTCGATTTTTGTCTGGCCGCCACGAAGTAGCGGACACTAGACTAAGGTGTTGCTTTCCGACGGCATCGACATAAAGTTTTTGCATTTTTGCATTTAAGTTAGTTTCACTAAAAGTAAGATGCATCTTAGTTAGTACATCTCAACCCATGCATCAAATGCTGCATGCGGCCTACCTTTTATGGTCCATTGACTTTGCCAGCATCTCCATCAACATTAAGTTTTTGCGTTTAAGTTAGTTTCTCTGATATGTGCATTGATGGTCAAAGCGGGGCACAGGCAAGACATATCAATCCGAATGGCTTGTTCCATGGGAAAATATTATTGGAGTTAAGTGGAAACTTTTGAAAAGTAAGGAAAGTTTTCCTTACGAACTTCAGTATACTTTCATATGGGAAATCTTGTGTTAATGAATTTCCTTTAGAAAATCAAATGTCTGTTAATCTTATCCACATTCTCGAAAAAGGCTTTTTGTTTCATATGATAACATGCATCTTTTTATCTTTTTTTTTTATTTGAAAAATTAGAAAAATGTATACAAAGGTTTTGGGAAACTATTGATTGAATACCCGAAGGGAAGATACCTGTTTTTGGTATTCAACAGTGTTTTTGTTACCTTAATTTTACATCAGCCTGTGCCTTCATGAATAAGGAAATATATAGCATTATTTGTATTGAAATTCGGAATATGTTCCTCATTTTGGTCATTTTGGAAAAATAAGACACTTTTTAGCTAGGTGCAGCAGTAAAACTAAGCAAAAAAGAAATGTGTCAAAAAACTGGACCATATATATCATTGATTTCTTTACAGGTATATAGCGTTGATCTCGGGGATAGAGGCAGGCGGGAATCACGAGAAAATGTTTCCTCTCCAGCTGTTTGTTGACTTGGTGACCGGTCAGCTTGGAGACGCCGGACAGCAGGAGGACTCGGCCAACATCGTTAGGGTCATTGTTGCCGGAAACTCACTCAGCCAGGACACACAAGACAAAGACAGTATCAATAAGGTATAACATTTGAAAAAAATTACCGTTTTGTTAATTGGATGTTTAAAAATATTATTCAGTGATTTTCCTTCATTATTAGCTTCATGCTCTTGACCAGTTGATATTTTCAACTGAATTTTTTATGAAAAGATCCTTGGGATGAGGAAATGATATTTTATATAAAGGAAGTGTGTTGCCTCCCTTGGTACAGATATATCCCAATATGGGATTTATATTTTTCCTATTTATGAAAATATTTTGACCTGATTGATTAAAAATCCAGTTAAGCAATACAGGCTCTCTGGAACTTTTGTTGTGTATTTTCAATGTTTTGACAGTATTTGAAAATATTGGGTTTATGAAATCAGAAGAAAATGAAAATAAAAATGCTTAATCTGATATATAAGTTGTACATGTATCTCCATTGGATAAATTCATTATTGGATATATCCATACTATGATTTAAAGGAGTGATCACAGTGAAAATATGTATTGAATGATTACAGGCTAAATATCTCACCAAAAAGACGGCGGCTGGCAGTATAAATGCAGTCAAGGATTTGGATGACTCTTTTACCCAGTTGACTGTAAGTATGATATTTTGTCAGATCAGGGGTGTTAATATCCTTAAATAGTCATCAGTCAATAATCTAATCAATTTTTAGCTGCTTATGGCATGGTGCGGCGTCTTCTCAGTAACGAAAAGGCCTAGGGTGATGATATTTGGCCAGAAGCATGCCGGGATGAAGGGCTACCAAGTTTGTTCAAATAAATGACCTTCATTTATTTTCAAGGTCACAGGGGTCAAATATGTTAAAATCTTGAATAACCAAAAGGCCTAGGGTGATGATATTTGGCCAGTAACATGCCGGGATGAAGGGCTACCAAGTTTTTTCAAATAAATGACCTTGATTTACATTCAAGGTCACAGGGGTCAAGTATGTTTACAACCTTTAAACAACTTCTTTTGAATAACTGAGACACCAAGGGTGATGATATTTGGCCAGAAACATGCTGGAATAAAGGGCTACCAAGTTTGTTTAAATAAATGACCTTGACTTATATTCAAGGTCACAGGGGTCAAATAACCAAGAGGCATAGGGTGATGATATTTGGCCAGTAACATGCTGGGATGAAGGGCTACCAAGTTTGTTCAAATAAATGAATTTGAATCATATTCAAGGTCACGGGGTTCAAATATGTTAAAAACATTTAAACAACTTCTTCTGAATAACCAAGAGGCCTAGGGTGATGATATTTGGCCAGTAACATGCTGGGATGAAGGGCTACCAAGTTTTTTCAAATAAATGACCTTGATTTACATTCAAGGTCACAGGGGTCAAGTATGTTTACAACCTTTAAACAACTTCTTCTGAATAACTGAGACACCAAGGGTGATGATATTTGGCCAGAAACATGCTGGAATGAAGGGCTACCAAGTTTTTTCAAATAAATGACCTTGATTTACATTCAAGGTCACAGGGGTCAAGTATGTTTACAACCTTTAAACAACTTCTTCTGAATAACTGAGACACCAAGGGTTATGATATTTGGCCAGAAACATGCTGGAATAAAGGGCTACCAAGTTTGTTTAAATAAATGACCTTGACTTATATTCAAGGTCACAGGGGACAAATAACCAAGAGGCATAGGGTGATGATATTTGGCCAGTAACATGCTGAGATGAAGGGCTACCAAGTTTGTTCAAATGAATGACCTTTGCCCATATTCAAGGTCACAGTGGTCGATATATGTTTAAATCTTGAAATACATAGTTTGTTCTGTATAACCAAAAGGTACAGGGTAATGATATTTTCCTAGAAGCATGCTGGGTTGGCTTCATATGTTTAAATCTTTTAATAGGTTCCTATGAATCAAACAATGATATTCTACCTGTAGTTGTATTTTAGTCCACTTTTAAGATAACGAGTGTGAGATTAATACCAGGTGAGCGATTCAGGCCCATTGGGCCTCTTGTTATGGGGGGAAGCAAAGATAGGTAGAAGGATCCCTGCACAATAAACTATAACTATGCATAAGATTGTTTTTCCCCAGCATGGCTATAGCTTTGATAAATATTTTTGGACAAGAAATTTATACCAGGAAGTGCAAACTGTCCTGAAAAAATATCAATCAACAACAGTTTTCTGAGTGTAAAAATACAACCAGACCAGAATTTGAACTATGGACATATGATCATTATACTATCACTCTAATTACCCACGGTGTCATCAGCTTCCTTGTCATTGGTATCAAATACCCTGGCCAGGTCACGCTACATCTGAAATGACATTAAGGAGAGGTTACTGAAAAACTATAGTGTTTTGTTGGCAGTAGGACAGGGATCCTTCAGAGCCCAAAATATTAATATTTTTAAAAGTATTTGAATATGAATAATGTTCTGATGTGTTTATGCTAACTTTATTAAACATTTCTTGAGAATGCACACACAAAAAAACGAAAAAGGAAAAAGTGTTAAACACTTAGTCATAGACTTTATACATGGAATACAAAATGAACTTGAATAAGTTACTTAAACATGAAAAACAAAATATGGAACATCTACCTCACTCTTGAAATTTGAAATCTGGACTGTAGAATTTTTTTTTATGCATGTATACATATTTTATGCTAGAAAATGTTCGCAGCTGTTGGGCTCTCATGTGCTTTAGTTTTCTGTAATGAGGCGAAATTATCATGACGGCGAATATATATAAGAACAACATACTGTGCATGTACATAGTAATTACATATGAATGGCAAAATTAACACTGGGGGGAATATGGAATTAACCAGCGAAGGCAAAAGTGACCTAGAATGCTCTGAGTGCATGTACATGTACTAACTGAACTTATATTGTAATTTGAAACAAGAGGCTGTGTAGACCAACAAGGTTCTGCGGGTAATTTCGATTGATAACCTGGGATATTTTCTGTGGCGTTACAGTCGTGTGTGGACGTTGACCTGATGTCGGGACAGTTTGACCCGGCTAACTACATCCTCCCTCAGCAGCCCCTGCACAAGTGTATGTTCCCCCAGGCGTCCTGTTACACCACCTTCCACACGACCACCAACCCTTACCACTGTAGGGTGGACGGAGTCAGGTAACAGCCAGTCATTTTACCATCAGTTCTCACAAGGACCTGTACCTAAATAATAGTGGTCCTTCATGTATGAGATGGGAAGGAGTTTGATAACATTTTATTTCTTGAAAAAGGGAAATTCAAATAAAATTCAAATTTAAAGGTTTAAGGGTGGGGAATAGGTGTGTGTGTGTTGAGATGGAGTTTAAAAACGTGCAAAGTGAATTTGCTGCCAACCAAGCAATTAATACATGTATTATATCAGGTTAATATGTGAGTATCCTTCATTTGATCGCATGGTTCAAGCTGTGTGATACATGTGTAACGATGTTAAAATTGACTCATCCGTTGTATATATTGAAATCCATGGCCATTAAGGTATGAAAAAAACAGCCATAGGTGTAAGTAAAACACCAGAATTTATTTGTGTTGACATTTCCTTTTACTAAAAATGTGTAGCTTGAAAACCCAATATTCAAGATATTGGCAATAATAATTCATAATCATTAGTTAAAATACTAATTTCTTTCATACAACATTAAATCAAACTTCACTCCATTTTCTTTCAATTATACTATTTTCCCTTCCACCTGTTATTATAATACTCAATAATGTATTACAGTTTCCAAGTCTTTTGCAGTCGGAAAATTGGTTTAAGCTAGTTATTGTGCAACAATGTTAAAAAAAGTCAAAATATTTATTGTACATAATTTCTGATTTCAGTATCCTGGGTACCTCTGGTCAGCCGATTCATGACATAATGAAATACAGCACAAACGAAGATCCCGTCGATATTTTAGAAAAATGTTTAAGGTGGGGTCATCTAGCACCTACAGCTCCAGACACACTAGGTAAGTGAGGGGTTTGACGTTTGATCAGTTGTCACAAGATGGTGAGTTATATAATTTGATAATGAAAACAGAACAGGTAATGGAAGATTTTTCGTTTCTAACTTGATAGATGGCCGCATGAAAAGAATTTGAGGTTCCTACGGATTGCTGTTTGTACCAAAACGAAAGGAGGAAAAAAGGGATAAAAAAAATCAAATAATATTTTGTCATTTTTAAAAAAAGCATTGATATATAAAAGCTAAATTTATGATAAAAAAAAAATCAATTTTTTGGTCCCGAGAATAAAATTATCTAGAATTAAGATGATGTTAAGAATATAACATCATTAATAACGGCAGGAAATCATGGGATTAAAAGAGATTAATGTCGAAAGACATCAATTGCTCAGGACTACCATTTCATGTATTAAGATAACAAAAAAAATACAGTTTACTTGGTTTGTCCTTATTAATTAATATGTTTAATCATTATGCTACACAACCTGTCTATTTTGAATCATCATGTCAGAATACTTTTCTTTTCTTTTTTTTTGAAAAGCTGCATCAGTATTTTTTATGACAAAGCTGTTTCATCACCTAGATTTAGAAACACATGGTGCAGCCATAGATAATTTTGTATGTGTATATTTAAGGTTGCTACCCATACTACAAAGAAGATCCGTTCATAATAAAAGAATGCCCACATATTTATTTTGCTGGAAACCAGTCATCTTACGGCTGCAGACTACATAAAGGTAAGATGTCGGTCATACTGATACAGTTACCTCCCTTTGAACGCAAACTGAATAAGAATGTTAGCTTCAGGATTTGATCAATGTGAAATGTTAATTCATTATTTTAAAGATCAATTAGAAGTAATTTGTTTTCAATAGCATTGGTGAACCTCTACAAATGTTGGGCAAATATCATCCTTTCCTGTTACAGGTTCGTCAGGCCAGCAGGTACTGCTCGTCAGCATACCCAGGTTTTGCCAGACCAGTACATGTGTGCTCATTAACCTGAGAACTCTGGAGTGTCAAGCTTTGGAGTTTAACACAGACTTTCCCGAACCAGCAAAGGGGAGTCCTGATGTGGACAAGTGACATTGACAGTTTGGAAACCTTGACAATAGACTTTTTTGTCTTACATACCTCATACAGTAAACTGTTATATGTCTGTGTTACAAACCAGGATTGTTAAACATTGTAACAAGTTCAGATACAGTGTCTAAAATACACACAAACAGTCACAGCAACCCTGTACAGACTTCAACTTGACGTTTTGTTTTAATCGTCCAGCATCCTTGTCTGACCTGAAAGTGAGTTATTTGCTGGCCTCGTCAATATCCCAAAAAATACAAGTGGACAGCAGAGCAAAGTTATAGCTGATGTTTGAAGGTTTTGGTTGTGTGGTCCGTCCTGTAACTGTCTGTATCAGTAGAACTATATACTGGGAAATTTTCACCGCAGTTAAACTTTCACCTTTTTAGCTCACCTGGCACGAAGTGCCAAGTGAGCTTATGCCGTGGTGCGGCGTCCAACGTCCATCCGTCCGTCCGGCGTCAATATTTTACTTTTAACGACTTCTTCTTAATAACCGAAAGGCCTAGGGTGATGATATTTGGCCAGAAGCAAACTGGGATGAAGGGCTACCAAGTTTGTTCAAATAAATGACCTTCATCTATTTTCAAGGTCACATGAATCAAATATGTTAAAAACTTTAAACAACTCCTTCTCAATAACCAAAATGCACAGGGTGATGATATTTGGCCAGTAGCTAGCTGAGATGAAGGGCTACAAATTTGTTCAAATAAATGACCTTCACCCATATTCAAGGTCACAGGGGTCAAATATGTTAAAAACTTTTCACAACTTCTTCTGAATAACCAAAATGCCCTGGGTGATGATATTTAGTTAGTAGCATATGCTGGGATCAAGGGCTACCAAGTTTGTTTAAATGTATGACCTTGACTCATATTCAAGGTCACAAGGAGCAAATATGTTTAAAATATTTTAACAACTTCTTATGAATAACCATGGGTCCCAGGATGTTTATACTTTGCAAGTTGCATCCTGAGATGAAAGCCTGTACAATGTGTTCAACATAATGACTTTGTTTGACTTTTAATCACAGGGGTGAAATGTTTTAAAAAAAATTAACAGGGTCTTTTGAACGAATTTTGATCATAAATACTGATATTTTGCCTGTAGCTTTATTTTAGATCACTTTTAAGGTTACAAGTGTGAGTTTTATACCAGGTGAGCGATACTTTGCTTTGTCTGTATTGCAATTGTGTTATACAGGTAACGTGTATTGTTTTACACCTTCGTTAATTGCATCAGATGTTTGATGCATAAACCACATAGATAATGTGGACTATATACAAAATATGTTTCATACAATATACCTATGTATGTAAGTAATACAAACCAGTGTTATTGATGCTGTTGTTAAGCTGTTATAATTGAATCTTTGATACTCCAGAGGTAACGCTCACTTACGTGACCCTTGGAATATGTCGGGACAAAATTAAAGGCTCGGTGTGCACCACCTTGTGGGTCAGACAAGGAGACTAGTTTGATCCTTTGATGTACATCAAAAGAATTTCGCTATGCATAACGGTAAAATTAACTGGCTTCAAAGTTGGGTGTTGCTCTTGTAAACTTCAAAGGACAGGTATCAACCTAGCAATCGGGGAGACTTTTTTATCCGAAACAAATAAAGTGTGCCTTCATCTTTGCTATGACATATTCCCGAGGTACAGAGTGAGTAACCTCTGGAGAATTGAGGATGTTACAATTGATATTGTTACACCTCAAGTGAATTTCTAGCTATTTGATTGGTTGGGAGAAAATTAAACAAAAATCTCTGTCACCCTCCGAAAATACATTGGTTTTAAGGGGCCCAGCTGATATTGCCATGAGACAGTGGAAAATATCACATGCGCAAAAAATGTGCGTGCACCGCTTCGTTTCCCCACCGTGATGGTCACAAGAACGTTTGACGGCAACAGCCAATTTCATCAAGCGCCGGTGCGATAGCGATTGTAAACAGCAGACTATCAACAAACAAGATGTCATTATCGAGGTTTGCTGCCGTTTCTGAGCTACATTGACTTTTGGTGTAACAAAATAGATATGACATTCATTAGCAGGTGACAGGGAATATTGTCAACCCTCAAAAACCCATTGTCACCCTCGGTTTCGCCTCGGGTGACAATGGTTTTCTCGGGTTGACAATATTCACTGTCACCTGCTAAGGTTGTTGACAGAATGTCTGTTATTTCACATTGACACATACTGATATATTTCTCATGGCTTTCTGCATAATTGATTGAAGAAATTGTACATGCTTTCAGACTTATTAAACAGGTAATTTAGTATTGGGAACAACCCTTGAATTACCTGTCCAATATTTGTGTTAACCGATTATAAAGACAGATTGTATGTCTCGATTAATATTTCTATGACTTTTGAATAGATACCATTCATGTCTGAAACCTGTCTCTTCTAAATATGAAAAAAAAAATGAAATAAAATTTACTAGATTGAATGATATTTTCTGGGTTTTTTAATTCAGAGGGTTTACTTTCTAAGTGACCAAGATCATATGAGGAACATGTCTCCTGACCGTGGGCGGTGGTACCTCTGAAGGACAAATTTTAAATGTCAACTTACTGAAATGTCATTACATGGATATAGTAGTATAACAACCCACAATCTTGGTAGTGGATAAGTCTGCCTCCACTAGGTAGTAGTCAGTGATTTTACCCTCCTTGACTGTTCTTGAACTTCTTCACAATGCAACCTAAAGGCAATCACAGCTTTGGACCTGAACCAATATGGAAATTGTGAAAAGGAAGCTGATAAAATTGAATATTATATCCTTTTCTGGTCTCTGCAGTAGACAGTATATGGATGGCATTCATGAAGGTCACAAGTAACACGTCATCGAAATATCAATATCTCGAAAAAATCGAGATCTCAATATTCGAATTTATTGAGATTGCCACCAAAATCGAAGACTTGTCAGTAAACGCAAAAAGTTGGATTGGGCCTTGAGAAAAAAACCAAAGACCCAACGGGAAAAAATAATCTAGGTGAGGTTATTTGAGGAGATATCAACAGTATGTCCGAGATGTTCTGCTCTAACTGAAAGGGAGAAGGCAAAGACTCCCAAGACGTTGCCGCCTTAAGAAGTCGGATGGTCCCTTCTACAATGTTACAGAATCAAAGGCAGATATACTGAACGAACAGTTTCAGTCGGTATGCACCTAGGACTAATTGCCAACTTTACCTGAGAAGGGATTGAGCCCACAAGCTTGAACGGGTCTTCAAACCCTTTTAAAACATTCAAGTAAATAAAGCCACGGAACCAGACGGAATTCCAGCAAAGCTACTACATTCCGCTACCGACCAACTTGCACCAACCGCACGTTCTATTTTTCAGACGTTCGTTTAACAGAGATCCCACTCAGCATTGAGCATGAACTGAGATCATCCTGATATTTTAAAAAAAAGTGATAAACATCAGGTTGCCAATTATTGTCCAGTTTTCCCGATGTCTGTTTCGTGCAAAATGCAGAAGCATGTCATTCGCATTCTATATGACAAACTTTTCACTCGTAACAAACCAAAAGTACGGCTCACTTCCCGGATACATGTCCGACTCGGATGGTGACCGCCATCGACGACATATCCAAGAAGGGTCGATGATGAAAGACAGTAAATCGTCCTATAATTATATAAGGTGCCCCATGAACGTCACTACATAAACTGGTAATTATGTGGTCTGTGGCAATACCACTACCCCAAAAAGAGGAAAGATGGCCAAGTTGATAAGCTATTCGCCAACAACTGTCTACTGTATGGGAAGACTGACACCAAGGAAAAATCACATCGACTCCTAAATCGCTGGGAAGCTGGGTAAGGAAGTGGCAAATGGATTTTAATCCAAACTTTGTGTCATCCAAATATCGAAGAAACAGAAAACCATAATACACTCTCTATAGACATCCTTGAAACCGTGGTTTGGTTTGTTTGTGTTTTACGTCCTATTAACAGCTATGGTCATTTAGTCATTTAAGGACATGCCAGGTTTTAATGGTGGTAGAGGAAAGCCGGAGTTCCCAGAGAAAAAAACCACTGACCTACGGGCAGTACATGGCGACTGCCCTACGTAGGCCACGAACCCGCGACCCAGTGGTCGAGGGCTAGTGGTAGCAGAATGTCAAACGCCCTAATCACATGGCCATCGCTGCCCCTTTGAAACCGTTGAGTTTGACCTTAAATGGAACAAGCAAATAGACATAGTGACAAAAAAAGAAAATCTGGAGCATATGAAACTGGTTAGGCCTACTCTTGAGTATGCAATATCTGTTTAAGATCTGCACATTGCCAAGCAAATCGAACAGCTCTTCTTGCGACAAGAAATGATTGCAATCAAAACTCAGGCAGCGTAGACGTGACTTTTAATCTCTTACCAGAGTACACATCTATGGAAAATGCCTGCAGTATTAGAGTGCAATTGGGCGAAATGTCTATATATGTTTTTTGACAGCTGACTTTACAGATTTGGCCCACTGTGGCTTAGTGAATTGCTTTCAGCGCTTTAGAGTAAATACACCGGACATTTTCACTCGTTGCTAGACAAAAGAAACTTTTTTTTTCGAAAGCTCGCATAGTAAGTTTTCAATTCCTGTTTGTGTTCAAAACAAACTTTCCCTTTATTATTCATACCGAACTGATGAATCTTATTCCGTACAGGATATGAACTATATATCTGAAGGATGATTTCTTTCCTCAGCACAGTAGACGGGTAATATGCCACCATGATAATCTCATGCAAAGCAGACGCAAGAAAGAGTAATAGTTATGAATAGGAAAGCGTTTACTGCAACCACACTTGCCGCCGCTCGAATCCAAGTACGCTGGTTCATATTTATCAATTTTGGACTTTTTTTGTGTTGAGGTGAACATTCGGTTGGATCAGAGAAAGTGAAATTGACCTCGACTTTGTTTTCGTTAATCTCACTTTTCCTGGTCCATATAACTACATATTCATCCAAATAACAATCCTTAAATGTTTTATTGAATGCTTGATACATGCTTTTATTTATTTTACAAGATATAACGCATGAAAGTTTTACGAAGGAAAGTACTGCATTTGACCGGGGAGCATTTGTTCATAACGTAAATATTAACCTGCTCTTTCTAAAAATAGTAACACCGAGTTGATATCACAAATCACCAATCTCCACGTGATTCTGATCTAACCAATGAGGATGTAGAAGAAACAAATGTAGTCATCTGTTATGACAAAACTGTATTCGTCTGTGGTGATGCTTTAATTGACGTTTAGAAACCACGTATTACATGTTTATGATATGTTTTGTGTGGAAATCATTGTTGTTAAACAATAAAAGCGGGGAGTTGATATGAGTACCAAGATTAACGTGCCAACTTGATCTTGAAGAATTGTTGTTTATGGCGACATCATCTGTTTTGCTCTGTCTGGCCGCCT